CGATCGAAAAGCGGCAGTATTTTCTTTTAAGCGACAGTGAAAATACTGTCATTCAAAATTGCAAGAATAAATATTTTATTCTAGCTTACAATAAATTCTGAATCCATATGAGTGAATATTTCAATCAATTAGTCGAAATTTGCTTCTACGACGGTGGAATATATTATATTCACTTTCCATTTTGAGTGAAAATATTCACTCGACAGTTTAGAGGGAAGAATTCACTCTAAATGAGTGAAAAATCATTCAAATTCGAATGATTCGAAAGTCACTCTGCTTTCTAAATAAAATTACTTAAAACAAGCAAAAAGCGGCAGTATTTTCTTTTGAAGCGACAGTGAAAATATTGTCACGCAAAATTGCAAAAATAAATACTTTACTTCAGCTTACAATGGATCTTGAATGCATATGAGTGAATATTTCAATCAATTAGTCAAAATTTCTTCCTGTGACGGTAGAGTCTATAATATTCACTCTTTCATTTCGAGTGAAAATATTCACTCAACAATTTAGAGTGTAGAATTCACTCCTTATAAATGAAAAATCACTCGAATTCAAGGTATTCAGTCACTCTATTTTTCGAGAGAAATTACACTTCAGGAAATTTAGAGAGTATTTCCAAAATTTTTCGGAATAGAATTTCATTCGAGACGAACGAAAAATAGCAGTACTTTCATTCGAAGCGATAGTAAAACTACTGTTACTCGAAATTACAAAAGTGGATGCTTCATTATAACTTACACTAAATTCTGACTCTACATGAGTGTACGTTTTAATATCAATTAGTCGAAATTCGTTGCTATGACGATGGAGTACAGCAGATTCACTCTTTCATTTCGAGTGAGAATATTCGGGCGCTTCAGAGGGAAGAACTTCACTCTATGTGCAAAGTCATTTAAATTTAAGCGATTCGGTGATGACTCTGCTTTTCGAATGAAATTTCTCTCCATGAAATGTAAAGAGTATAAGCGACGTTAATGTATGTTTAATGTCGACGCAAGTTCGTCGTGTCACTGCGACACATTATCCTGGGGGAGATTAGGTTAGGATTAAGGTAAGTGTTTTATGGGATAAAGTCTATGTAGGTAGTCTCTAATGAAGGGGAGAAGTTGGCTTCGATCAAGGGAGACTGACATTAGCAGGGAGTCTCGAAGACTGAATAGCGCGGTTGTTCTCGGGGAAAGTTCTGATTTGTTTTGGGATTCATGAAACGCCCTGCTTGATCCTTCCACACCTCGCTCGCAATGGGAGCGAACCGATCCCAGTTGGTCGAAAGCACGACGTAGCAAGAACTTGGCGTATTTCATCTTCGTGTCACGTAAAGGCAACGTAAACGCAACGGCGGGTCGTCTTATCGAATTTGAAATTGAACTGGAAATTGAAAAATTCTGCGTGCAGCAGAAGAACGGCACTGCTCTCGTGCGTATCCCACCAAAAGAAAATTACTTTTCGCGTAGGAGATCGCAGATCGCGCCGGAATCGTCGATTCTTTCATGCGAAAAAGTGCACCTCCGGAAAACGTCCTAACCGTTTCGTCGCGCGGATCCTCGGGGAAAAAATTCGCGACTCGGTTGCGAGGGTGGAAACGGCACGTATCGACATCTTGGATATATATTCCCTTACGGACGAATATTCTACGATCTCACGTACGTCCGTAGAATTTACGAGAAGCCTCGCACGTCACGTCAGCGTAATTTCTACACATACAGGGTGTCCGGTAACTGACGATGGAGCCGCGATGTGTAGGTAGAATACATTAAACTGAGCAAAAAATCTTCCTTTTCCAAATAACCGCGTAAAATTTTTAATCATTGGTGAGAGAAAATTAGTGAATGATCAACATGTAATATCGATGAGTTGTGATGGCGACGTCTGCTTGTACATTAGGTTAAATTAACGACATATATACATAGACCAAACATTCCCTCCAATAAATGAAGCCGAAAGTTGGCAGTTTGTGACAGAGTTAGAAAGCTATTTTGCATCTACCCCTTTCTCATTCTTGTTTAGAGCGACTGTCAATCTTGCACTCTTTACACTTGGACTTTTCGTTCTCACTTCTTTCAGCGTCCGAATAATATGCATCCATTTCGTTCTAAATGCGAAAAGTGCGAAAAGTGCAAGCAGCACAAACAGTTTTGTATCTATTTATCTCACTCTATCTTAGAACGTTTGTCAAGAGTTGCCACGTATATACTACAGTAGTCAGGTTAAGTGTATGTTTATAGACAAATATGTCGAAGAAAAAAGGTAAAATATGAAGGAAATATAACCATTATTATCCTAATTATTTAATACTTATTATTCGTACCTTTTCTTTCAGAGTTTATAGCTAAAAGATTAGATAAGTATTGTTCTTGTCATATAAGCCAAGAGTGAGAAAGTAGTAGACGCAAATCAACTTTCTCTCTCAGTCACAAACTGCCAATTCCCGGTTTCACTCGCTACTATAGTAAAAATATATGAATGCTTGGTCTAGTATATATTTGTCGTTGGGTTAAACTGAACCAAAAAGTCCTCTACCGTTTTGCAAATAACCACATTATAGATTTTTAGCTATTAATTAAAGAAGATTGATGACTATGCGCGATAATGTACCAATCTTCTTTAATTTCTCTAATAATTAAAGATCTTCTTTAATAATTAAAGATCTATCTTTAATAATTGAATCTTTAATAATTAAAGATTTTCTCTAATAATTAAAGATCTATATGCAGGATAGTCGATGACTTTTTCGTTCAGTTTGACCTAATATACAAACATACAACAAATATACAAACTGCGGCAGACCGTCAGCTCACCATATGGCGTGTGATCATTCACCAATCTTCTTTGACTAATAACTCAAAACTTCACGTGGTAGTTTGAAAAATGATAGAAAACTTTTTTATTTAGATTGATGTGTTCTATCTGCACACCGCTCCGTCGTCAGTTACCGGACACTCTGTATACAAAGTATACACAGTAACAAATAAAACTCTTGTGCACATGCAGATTAAGTCTAATTGGACGAAAAATGCCTCTACCATTTTGCGAACAATCACGTAAAATTTGGAGTTATTAACTCTCCTAATTAAGGAGACGCTGAAAATAACATAGAGACAATCGTTACTAATACAAGCACGCTATAGATCTTACATAAATACGTGTTGCTTGGTTTTACCATTTATAGAAATTACGGAAAACTTAACGCATATCTAAAAATCTTTCTGTAAATTTTTTCGATATTTTTAAACTTCTGGATTTTAATATAAAGATACAACAATGTTTTTCGAAATTTTTCTGAATGAAACAAAATCGCGTTTAATATATATAAGCTACAGATTTTTTTGTATCAGACGAATATTTTAAATGACAGTGCCTGACAGATTAACTTATACTCGAAGTATCAACTTTGAAATTTTTTATCGTTTTTTTTTTTCATACATTAAGTAATACTCTAATTAATTCTCGCGCTTTTTTTATATTGTATAAGAACATTAGTGATTCTGTGCAGTCAATATAGCGTGAATTTTGCAGAAAAAGTCAATATTTTGCCGGTAAAGATTTCGACCGTAGCATCTTCTTAAAGGAAATTGGAGAACGATCGTCGGCGATTCTTCGCGGATCTTCTTTAATTGATAACGCAAAAACTTACATGATTATCTTCAAAATAGTAGAGAATGTTTTTGTTCAATTTGATTTAACGTTAAACGAAAAAAAAATTTGGTTGAAATTTGATCAACTAAACTTAATTAACTAAATGTGCCTGATAAGATAGGAGTGAACCAAAATTCCGATTTGAAATTACTAGAATTTCGTTCAAGGTTCCCGATTACTCAAATCTTCTTTGATTAGTGATTCAAACCTTTGTTTTGCGTGGCTGTTTGCGAAATGGTGGAGGAATTTTTCGTGCAGTTTAATCTAAGTGTACGCGTACACGAGTTTTATATATTATCGTCAGACACACCCCGTATATACGCTCACAACGACAGATATTTCACGCGTTCGGTTATCGAATCGCCGTATCCGTCCTGTGGTATCCGTTGTCCTTCGGGCAACGAGTCTCTCTCTCTCTCTCTCTCTCTCTCTCTCTCTCTCCCTCCCTCCCTCTCTGTCGAGAATCGGGATCGACGGAGCGAGCGAAATCAACGACATCGATGGCCATTCTTCCATCAGTATCACTGATCGCACCGGTGCTTCTAATCAACCAGATACAAATGTCAGATGTCGGTCACGGCTTACCCATTCGGCGGACTTAGGGACGGGCGACCGACAAAAAGGCGAGATCGATGCCTGTTGTTTGTCGAAGGTGGAACATAAGACCTATGAATACGTCCGACAGTATCTTTGACGCATCACTTGTCAGCTTCTGCTTCCTCGGATATTGGTAGCTCCGGCAAGGTGAAAGCTCGCCCGCTGGTATCGATGTCTTCAACCCGTTCGATAAAATAAACCGCGAGACGAACGACCCCGTATCGAGTCGGCCATATATGGATTCCATTCAATTATTTATCTGCCCTAATCTATTCATTTGCGATGTATTCTTAGCCATCTCCACTTAATCTAATCGCCTCTATAAGGGGACGTCCAAGCGAATGACAATCTCCAAAAATGCCGATAACGTAGAGGATAACCGTCAAAATGACGTACGTAGAGAAAAAAAAACATGGTAATTAAATGATCTAATTGAAATTAAAGTTATTTTTGACCGCAACTATTATTTTTTACTTGTTCTACTACAAAAATGATAAAAGTAACGTGCATATAAAGTTATTATCACTGACATTATAGGAGAATTAAATAATAAATAAAAAAATAGTTTACTTGAGCTGATTTGTAACAATTATTTCTCTATGTGATTATAATTACAAATACCAAAGGTTTTTCTCTCAGTGTGTCACCCAGATACACTTTGATGATTATCACGACGCGCGAGGCAAATTTTCTTAATTAAATTTATGAAACCAACATATTTTATTGAATTAATCATTAAATCTGCATAATGTACATTTTTTGTTATGCTTGTGCAACAAAAGATTTATGAAAAATTATACGGATTTTATCGGATTTTTATATTATATTTTATTGGATATATTATTTGGAACAAGTTTTAATCGCTTTTTTCGTAATTTTTTTGTTATTCTGCGTAACAAATATAGATGCCATATGAATCACTCATTAGAGATACAATCTTTACACAAATCTAGTAATAAAGTCGCCAAATTATATATATCTGGATAAATAAGTACTAACACGATCACGCTTTCTTTTTCGTATTTCTTATATATACACTGAGAAAAAACCTAAGAAAAAAGATCTTTATGTATGTAGTGGAGGCACTAATAACACATATTTATTTATAAATATAAAATATTTCTTAAATAAGAAATATTTATTTAAATAAGAATATCTATTTTTTTAAACTTTAGAAATTTTCATGAAACAATTGTTTATTCTATTTAAATAAAATAATTTAGATTCAAGTAAATATGTTATTATAATACTCACACACATATAATGAATAAATATTAAAAAAATTTTTTAGATACTTTTTTTTAGTGTACATAAAGATCTTATAAAGATATATGCTTTAAGATTTTTTTATTTGTTATTTTTAGCGGCAAACTTTAGTCTTACAAACTTTTCGTACATTTTTGAGTTTTCACATTTAATTATGAATATATAGCAATGTTGTTTAAAATTCTCCGGAGCAAACACACGCTCGGTGTAAACAAGCTACAGCGAATTTTCGTATCGAGCAAATATTTACCCTAACAGCTCGAGATGTGACTTGAAATTGTTTATCGTTTCCGTCACGGAATTGAGCAATGCCCCAATTCCCTTTTACGCGTCCTTCCATTGCGTAAAAGCATCCGTAATTCAGTGCAATCCGATACAACGTAAACTTTGCAAGAAAAAAGTCAATATTTTCCCAGAGTTTTCCAGCGTGGAATCCCCTTAACGAAAGTCTCTCGCTTGATTGTATCGTTTTATTGCGCGATATCCCCGTACCTTTGCTACTGAAAAAGTACCGCGCGCGCGGGCGCGTGCTAATGTTATTACTCGCGATTGCGTCGCTGCGTGATTTTTAATCGAACTCGCAATTCTATTCGCGGCGGTTCCATTCAATTCGCCCTCGTGAATGTTGCGCAGCGCGGTATATAGACTTCCGCTACGTCTGCAATAGAGAGAATTCCCGAGCCAGGAATAGTCCATAAGAATATCATTATCTCTTAGGAATCAATATTCTTGACCGCCCGGGTCTGTGGTACGCGTGGTTACGGCGTTAGCTTCTTGGTCGGATTCGCTACCGCAGATAAGAATGTTCTACTGACATCGCGTCTACTCTTTGCAAGGGAAATGTATCCGTACCTACACCGCGCGCATGTAGTCGCCGTCTTCAGCCAATACGCACCGTTGTCCCAGTTATTTTTAAGCGCGACAAAGAGAGATCTTCCGCGCGAATGAGCTCATAAAACGCGTCTAAGAAAATTTCGTTGTGTAAAGAAAATATACAACGAAAAGATGATGTCATTAATCTACAAAAAAGAAACTTTATTCTTGTCACATTGACCTAATTAGGTGATCTATACAGGATGTTTCAGTAATGATGAGCAATCTCTTAGAGGCGATAGATTAGGTAAAAATAACCCTATGAGTTCATATAGTTTGTTTTCCTGCAGCGCACTCTTACTAAAATATATTCACCTTCGGAGTTAGAATGTAAAAAGCGTTTTCTAAAAATAACTCTTACATTACTTATCAAGTTTTAGTAATTTTTATATTATCTTTATACTAAATAAAAATCGTTAAGATGGTTTGATATATTTATTGATATTGTGTCAGACAGCCGAACAGCAAAACGCTCCTAAATTTCTTAATATCTAAACTGAGATGAGTAGGATAAATAGTTCTTGGACATTTTTTGAGATTTCTCTCAAATCTTTCTCTAAAAAAAATGTTTAATTTCAGGAAAGTGAATATGTATTATATAATTTTGGAGAAATCTATTTCTTTTCAATTAAATTTGACTTAATCCAATTTTATTTCACGCAAAATCATTATCTTATGATTTGAATAAGTTTTATCTTTCACCGTTCAAATGCATTTTTCTTGAAAACCATTCGTTTTTTTGAGATCAAATAAGAATATTTTTTTGAAAAGAAAGATAAGAGGAATCTAAACAAGTGTTCAAAAATTAAATAATCCTACTCGCTTCCAAGATTAAGGTTTAAGAAATTTAGAGGTGATTTGCTCCCCTCGATTCCCCGAAGTAAATATCTCAATTTATATGAACTTATAAGATTATTTCACCTAATCTACAGCTTCTTAGAGATTGTCCATCTTTACTGAAACACTCTGTGTAATATTATTTACATTGAATTAAAAATACAAGATTTTTTCTGTCACTCAGAGTTTTCCAGTAAATGTGATCTTCAAGTTTCAAGAAAACTGACTTTCTTTATATGTACACAGACATAGCTTACGTAATTTAAACTGATTCTACGCACAAAAATACACAAGAAGCGCACATGAGAAATTCCGTGTGACAAATGACCTGTAGACCAGCGTAATTAAAACTAGCTGTAATTCCACCCAACAATAATACGAGTCTCATTTGCAACAGCAAAGACGGACGTATGTGCAATGTTTGCCGTTATTTCTCCTCGGAAAAAAAAAAGAAAAATATTCCCTGTCATTTGTCAGCGACGGCTGGTGGCCGACACGAATATCTCGCGGCGAGCATGATACACACAAATTATCCGTCTTGACATAATTATCTACAATGACACCACAGGTGTGGAACTATAAGTTGCGACACATACATCACTCACCACGAAACACTAAGCGCAAGTGCTTCCCGCGCGACGTTATCGCGCGATAATACGTGTAAGAAAAAAGGATCGCAAGGAGTGGCGCGAGCAAACGAACGAAACGACCCGCGCTTCGCGCTTTGTTTCTCTCCATATGTAGAGCGTGTATATATCGTCGTCTCGGGACATATCGACGATCGCTTGTTCGACGTCGCCCGACACCTCAGGTCTTGTCGGTCGACCTGGGTCAAGAGGATTCGGATTACCATACGGTGCGCAAGAGGCGTTCGCTATAATTGATGTTCTCTCTCTCTTTCTCTCTCTCTCTCTCTCTCTCTCTCTCTCTCTGTCTTTCGTCCCGGCTACTCTGCCGGATACAACGCAGTAGCCGCGGCGCATGACGGAGACACAACCACGAAGCTTACCGTAAATCCGCGATTCAGCAAACAAACTTGCACCTGTGGTGGCATCTTCTAACTACCGGCTCCGTTGGCGTCGCGAACGACGAGCGCGCAACTCGATCTCTTGGTTCCCACGAGTTACTTCACGCGTTGATGCGGGGACCGACGTTCGCTGTCGTGACCGGCTATTAGAGGACACAGCAACGAAGATGCCATCAAGAGAGAGACTCAGCAGCGACACGTGTCCTATGTGGCAGTAGAACTACGTCGCCAGTTTCATAGTTCGTGCGTGCTTTAATCGTAGTATTCGACGCACGCGTGGAAAGAAGGAGGAGAAGAAAATCGGCGAGAATGCTGTGCTTGGATATCAAGCTGGTCGCGCGGCTGCGAGGTGTCACCTCCGGGACCACTTCGTCGTCCGCGTCGCCGACGCTCCCGACGTCGGGCGCAGCCTCGTCGTCGTCAACGTCGGGCGCGAACATCGCGGAGAAGAGCAAGTTCCGCAAAGCGAGACGCGAGAGCGGCGAGATCGCCAGCTCGACGACGACCAGCGACAGCGAGGAGGAGCTGCTGCGACCTAACCCGAGCGTCCAGGAAATGATCCGCAGAAACCGATCCAGATCGGTGTGCGTGGCGGCGATCTTGCCGTCCTCGCAACTCAGACAATTGCATCGGCGCGCCAGTCATCATATGTACGTCACTACCAAGAGGTTACGCGGAGCGAATTGCAAATCAAGCGGCGAGTCATTTGCTTTCTTTCCATTGTCTTTTGAATTGGTCTCATAGGCTGCACTCAGCAGAGAAAGCTGCCTTGCAACTGTTGTAAAATTTATTGTGAATCTGATTGGTATAGATTCAGTCAAGATTAAGAGCATATATCAGTAAGATTCACGAATTTTACAACAGTTGCAAAGCAGCTTTTTCTGCTGAACGTAGTCATTGAAAGGACGATGGGCCAAATGGGCCTATTTTAATCTAAAGAGTGTAACGACGTTATGTACATAATCTTATGTTTTTTAGCTCGCTGAATGCGATGGAAAGCACTTTTATCCGTCTAAACTCGTGGAGAAGTGTACCACAATGCATTTTAAAGTGGTCGAAATAAATCACTTTTGATAGATTTTGTTCCAATTATTAGGTTACTTGTATTATAGTTTAGTTTTATAAATTTCTTTCACTGAAAACTGAGGACAGATTTCAAAATGAAACGTCTAACATGGCGAGATCAATATGATATGAAATTTAAAAAGATAGTTTTCTTATTCAAATAATTTTAAGTTTCACACGTGCACCTGTATACTATGCAGTGTGCAGTATAGTATGCAGTTGTAAAGATGTTAAAATGATTGATGGCGAACTTTCACATCACTCTAGAACATTTCAGAAATACTAAATTTCCTTATAAGAAGTTCCTTAGTTCTACCAAGGAACTTCTTACAAGGAAATTTAGTATTTCTCAAATGTTTATTATTTTGAAGCGTTTCTTTAGTTTTCTCTGAAAAAAAAATTATAAAAATAATCTATAATACAAATAATTAAATAATTGAAACGAAATTGTCATTAACTAAATTTTAATAGTAACTAAATTATTATTAATTTATTAAATTATTATTAAATTACTATTAAATTACTATTAATTTTTTAAAAGTAACTAAATTACTATTAAAAATAATTTATTTCGATACCTTTAAGACGAAAATGGTCAAAATATGTATATAATTTACATTTCATTTTTTAGACTAAAATCGGCCCAATTTCCTTTCGCCCATCGTCCTTTCAATGACTACGTTCAGCAGAAAAAGTTACTTTGCAACTGTTATAAATTTGTGAATCTTATGGCTCTTTAAGAATTTTAAAAATCATTTCATTTCTCCGTACGTTTTTTAAACGAATAAAAATTCTACCATCGTATTTAACGATCCAAAAAGACATAATATTATATTACGTGTGTATATAATTTACGTTATACTTTTTAAACCAAAATCGATCTATTTTATTCTTTAGTTATTTTTTTCGTGAAATCGTTTTCTTTGTCCTAACAGGAATTAGGATAACAAAAAATATAGCTGATGTACGTAAAAATGTACTAGAAAGATAGCGATAATAGAATATTTATTAACATCTCTCTAATGAACGTTTCAATATCGATTAAAACTTAACCTAACTTTAAATCTTTATTTAATTAAAGTTTAAATTCGAATTAAGTTTTAATCGACATTAGTAGAAACTGACATTAATCATTGATACTCTAGACATATCTGATCTTTCTTACAAGCAGTGGCATCTATTCACAGTTTTAGCTGTATCTTTTTTGGAATTATAAGACGCAGGCAAGAAACTTAACCGCAGTGCTAATCTATGAAAAACCAAGTTTTTCTAGAGTACCAGTGACTAAGAGTAGTCAAAAACTCTAATATATGTCTTGCTACTGATAGGTTGGAAAAGATTTATTATTTTTAACCGGCTTCGAAAAAGAAGGTTTTCAACTTATGTTGTATTTATGTTTGTTTGTTTGTTCTCTTATAATTTTAGAATCATTAGAGATATTGAGATGAAATATTTAGTAACTTATTCGGTATGTGCATAGATTTTAGATTAATGTCATTACCCAAGTTTGTCCAGGTAATGGTTTGGCCTGGAAATTGGGAGTAATTTCATTACTTTCTTGAAAATCCGAGAATATGTAAAGATACAGGACGAAATTTTAATTTTTAATCGACTTCAAAAACAAACTTTTAGTAAATAATTAAGAAGTATGATCTTAAAAAAAAAATAAAAGTACGATCATAAAAAAAAATAAAATAAATCAGCTTTAAAAAACTCAATAATCCTAAAGAAATCTAAAGTTTAAATCAATAATCTTATGTAGGGTAGAATTTCCGAAATTGTACCGATTTCCTAAATCGTACTGCATCGATCGTACCTGATTTTCTTAAATGTTTATAGTACGCGCACAAAATAAAATATAATCTGAAATTTTCCGTTTATGTCATTGATCATCTATTTCTTATTTTCATCATTAGATATGTCGTTTATATTCAATAATAATAAAGAAATTGACAACTCTCTCTCGGCTCAACTCTTCCCTACCTACAATCTTACCCTAATATTCTAATGATATTAGAAATCGACACAAAGAAAACAAATTAGTTAGATTAATTATATTTATATCTCTACTAACTGCAAATAAATAAATAATTAAAAGGAGGTATGATTATTGACTCAATAATAATAGTCAGGTTTTCGCACCGATTTCTAATATTAGATTGTTAGGATAGAATTGTATGTACACAAGAATATTAATTTAAAATTATTTCAAAATTTTTTCTATTAAATTGTCGTAAAAAGTTTTGATATTAAATGGAAAATAGAAAATCTTCGTTAAATATTAAAAAAAAATCCAGTCGATGATGTTTATTTTAAAAATGATTAATTCTTCGAAATTGAGTAATTGTTTTCCATTTTATTTGACAAATACGGCAAACCTTTTGCATCAATCTAATTATTGTAGTAGCAATACAATAATGTATATTGTTACACAAAGAGCTATATATATTATAGTTTATTCTTCATATAAATTCTTTTCAGTTTTATTATTTATATTTAATTCTTTTCAATTTTCTAGCAGTACAGGAATAAACTATCTTGCTAAGGAATATAATAAATTTCGCTAGATCTTAAGATTTATCTTGTTAAAGAATACAGCAAATTTCGCTGGAAACAGCGCATTCTTAATATAATACATTCCACAGTTCCTAAAGTATAAATACGAAATAAAAAAATAATAAATTACTGCAGCGTGTCAATCTACTCCTCGGCTATAAAATTTCATAATAATTTTTACTATAAAATTTTTTCTAAAAGCTACTATTTACAGTAACACAATAAAGCACATTATTATCGCTATCTTTGTAGCACTAAAAAATTGCTTTGCATGATTGCAACTGTATCATTATGCAATTATAGTCATAAATGTTAAACATTTTTTTCCTCATATTTTTTTATCGAGCAAGATAAGCTGAGATAAGCTACTGGTTGTGCATATTTGCTGCCAAATTGCAAACTTCTTTCTCGTTCTTAATTGTCGATCGAGAAAGATGCGCCAATAATTCGCTGCTTGATTCATTCGATATTTTTAAACTCGTTAATGCTTGATATCTAATATTCTTCTCTACCTGCTTCATGTAAATCTACTATGATCGCCGCTAAATCGGCGGTTCGACGCGGAAATCGCGAGCGATACGAACATCGAATCTTGACCAAGCAACCATTTCTCTTTGCGCCTGTCGTGTAACGACCTCTCTGCCCGGTTACCACCCGGCCAATTCGACCTTCCCGTAGCTTCTCGTTAACCCAGATATTCACGTCGTGAAAAATGAGACACGAGAGGGATTGAGTCGGCGAACCGAGGGTGCCGTCGTATTACGCTACGTTCACACTACGAGGGCGGCCCGACTCGCTCGTTGGGATGATCGTATTTGATCACGGAGTACATTTAGCGAGTCAATAATAATTATCCCGCCGATAGTGTTCCACCGCTCAATCTTCCGCGTGAGGGCGAATATCGAAAATTGTGACAACGGACTATTATCTAATTGCCATTCTGAGAGTTTCAATGTAGATTTATTGGTAGATTTATTGGATATCTTGACAATTCAATTGCACGTTATAGACACCAAGAGTAGAAAGAATAAAATCGAATTTCTTGTCTCCGAGTTGCGAATAGCGATAATGTTTTATCTACTCGTGTGTTGAAACTTTCATTTTAGCGAGAAGTCCTGCATCCCCCGATCGCTTTTAATCCGAAAGCAATTAGCGTTTTGACATCTCAATCGAGAAAAATAGACTCTAAATTGGCAAGAAAGATTCATTGAGACTCATTGACGTTTATTGAAATCACAGAAGAGCATTGCGGCTTACGGCAACCTACACACAGAAAAATGTCATTCTACTGCTAAAAAAAAGCGATTACTCGGTATATTTTTCTTTTTTTGAGTAATGGTTATTTTTAACCATTTGCATGTTTCCTTGATAATAAGTTTAAAATATGCTTGTCACAAATTTAGAAAAAGCTCATTATAATATTCCAAAGGTGAATCTTTCCTTTTTATAAGAATATTACAAAATATTATTTAAAAAGCTGAGTGTTCGACTCTATATAGTAAGCAAACCGAATTTTTTTATCAAATCAGTATTCTTGGTTGGATTGTATTTAAAATAAATTTGATACTTATCATGAATTTATGATAAATAAGCAGAGAGAGAGGTACAAATGTATAAACTTATTAAATATTTTAAATAAGTAACGTTTACTTAAATACAATATGCATTTTTCTATGGTACTCGCACAAAAATATCACACTATTCTGTTAAAAAAATTTATTTACTTTATTTGCCTTCTTTTAAATAATATTTATTTTCAGCAAAGAATATTTTCCTGATAACAATTTTGATAATAATCTTAATAATATTTTCTTAACATATATTTTGAAATATATCGTCACAAATTTTAGAAAAGCTCATTATCATTTACTCAGAAGAAGAATTTATTCTCTTTACAAAAATATTACAAAACATCGCCAAGAAAATCTGATTCGACTCTATGTAATCAAGTAAACCAAATTTTTATTTCAACTTAATATTCTTAGTTGAAATGCTTCACTTACTAGGACTCATATTTTGAATAAATTTGATGCTTATGATGATCTTATATACTATAGTAATAGATCTGCGGATATATAAACTTATAAAATACTTGAAGCACGTAACGTTTGCTTCAATGCAGTATATACTTCTTTGCATATAACGTCGACGTGTCGATGCGGATTTGATTGTGGAGCGGAGCAGAATGGTTCACGTCGGCTTTTTTCAAATTCATCACGTAGCGCTGTTTTGCTTTCGAATGGCAAATGGCACGTTAGAAGTACCAGCGGAAAACACGACGGAAGGTGGAGGCCGATGGAGAAACGTACGTGCTCCGGTCAAGAATGCCGTTCACCGACGAACGAGGCGAGCTACCGTCTCTCTCTCTCTCTCTTTTTTTCTCTCTCTCTCTCTCCTAATGTGAACAATTCCATACAAGCATACAGGCAGGCAGAAAGAAAGATATAAGGGCGTCTACGCAAAGGCGAAGTCTGTGTTCCGGATAACGCAATTATTTCCGTTAAAAAAAAGACAAATGCGTTCACGCATTTGTTGCGGTAATTCGCGAGAGCGCGATGTTTATTTAACACCTTGACTGTCATGGAAGTCATCAGTGACCAACCCTATGATATTCACACGTTTTATTAATTTACAAATAAAACGCAATCAAGTTGTATAAAATAAATAAATACAGCAAAACGCACGGAAGAAACACTTTGTCAGTTTTCAATATTTTTGTATGGATTTCGCAATTAAGCTGTATGGGAGACAAAAAATAATTAATAATTAATAAGTACTTAATAAATATTTTACATATATAAATATTGAATTAATAATTGATTAATAATTAATAAAATAGATAGCCATTACGAACGAATGAAACAAGTTGTCAAATACATGCATTGTAAGTTGCGTTTATTTGCCGTTTTTTTTTTTTTTTTGAAAATGGAAACTTCACTTGAGCATTAACCCTCAAACACCGCTCTAGGATACGTACAACCAGACCGAAAATAAAACGTATGTCATTTTTAAACGGTAAGGAGTTATGACTCAGGGCTTAGAAGGGAAATACTTATATATCTTCACTACAAATCCCCCTGCATTCCTCTATATAGCAGTGTGTCCAAAACGGCTTTGTACGAAAAGCGCGAATTTCGTTTATGGGTACCGCACATTTAGTGCGATGGTAATGTTACTAAATTTTACTAAATTCTTACTCCAAAATTAAAATCTAAGTAAATATCATTTTATCATTGTAAATAAATTATTTGTAAAATACGATGTTTGTAAAACTATAAACTGTATATACAGTGTGCCGCAAAAGTATAGCAACGGCCAAATATCTCGAAAATAAAACTGTTTGGTGCATCGCTCTTATACGTAGAATTAATGTATCGTTTTTCTTCTAGTTTATATAGATTAATTATATATTTTTTGTTACAATTGAATTTTTTTATTTTATTAATTTTTAAGAAGAAAATGAGACTTCAAGTTAATAATTCGTTTGATGAAAGATAAAATTACTTAACTTTACCTCGTAAAATAATTATTCACTAATAAAGCTAAACGTAATAACGTATTTTTTTCAAAAATTCAAGTTAAATTCTTTAAATTTCTATATGTTAAAACGCTCGCGCGCGCGTATCTGTTTTTGAAACAATTTTATAATTTTTTGAAAAAAATACGATTTTTTCGTAATTACTCGAAATCTGTTCGTTTTTTCAAAATATCTTAAGTATTAGAAGTTTTATGACATATTCAGTGACATATTTTCTTTTTTTAATGTCTGGCGTATCGATAAAAAAAATGATCGGTGCATCACCCGAGATATAAGCACGACAAGAACTGCGAGTGTCACACAGCCAGTGCGGTGAAATAAGGGTGGCGAATATAAAGCGGTGCCTGAGGGGTAAAATAATCAATGAGAGTCAACGTGGCAATCATCGTGTTAAGCGGAAAGAAGGATTTACACGAGACGAAATGATGCTCTTCTTGCGTCGGCCGAGATTAAAATGGGAAAAATTGCTGTTTCAGATCCACCGCGGACGCGATATCGAGGCGAGGAGTCCTGTCGAGACGATGCTACGGCAGCGTGGAAATGGTAAGGAAATGAGGAAAATGTTCGGCGCGGGAGCCCCGCTCCGCTGCGCTTGTCGCGAAACGACTCGCCCGAAGCCATATGCACGGCGTACTCGTGCGTGATAAATGTTAATCATCGCGATAAAATGACGAACGAGAGAGCGCCCGTGATAATCCGCGACGCATCCGGTAAGCCGATTATATTGTTTCCCTCCACCTTTCTGTTTATCTATTGATTTGCTTATCATGGTTCGCCGCGGCTGCACTCAGGTAGTTCTTCACTCATGCCTGAGCTACCATGTTGCATTATATTCAGTGCCGGTCGATATTCACCGAAAAGTAAGAGACAATGTTCCTTGAATTATTTCGATTGAACGCGTCTCTCTCTCTTTCTCTCTTGCGAATCTTTAATCGAAAATGTTAAATTTAATTTTCTAATTATTCTATAGCAGACTGTTCGTTGTTCAAATTTGCAAATACCCTGCCTCATCCATCGAAACAGAGGTAGAGGGAAAAAATCCTTGGAATGTTTTAGGATTTGTTCGTAAAAAAGATTTCATAGAAAAATCGAATTAGATAAATTTTTTCCTCGCGAAAGAAAACACTGAGAAAAAGCGTTTGACATTTGTTACTAAACTGAAAAAAAATATTTGAAAAATGGAGAATATTTACTCGACGGGTATTAATAACATATCGATTTAAATTGAAATTCTTTTATTTAAATAAATAAACAGTTGAGAGATGTTTCTCGTTTCACGAAAAACAACAGTAGATTTAGAAAAATATATATTTTCTTATTTAAAATAAACTTTCTTTGAATATAAAAATATGTATACAAGTATAAATAAATATGTTACTGGTATCCACCGAATAAATATTTTTAGATATTTTTCTTTCAGTAATTACATAATGAAAGAATTATAATCAGGAGAACCATTTTTGCAGTAAGTGTTACTATAATGTTATAGTGATAAAGTAACCATACATATATCTCGTATATTATTATATTTGTTGTATACTGTATACAAGGAGAGAGAAAAAATCTAGGAAATAAAATATATCTATTCATAATAGGTACTAATATTTACACAGAGAGAACGATTTGGTTGAATCAAATTTGGTTGATCCAAACACTTCTTTGGAATAGTCCAAATAAATTTTTTGATTGATCGAACAAAATTTTATTTAACGCAACAAAAATATTTATTTGTGGCTTAGTTCCAAAAAAATTTTGTTGTTGTGTCAATCAAGAAATTTATTTGGACTATTCCAAAGAAACATTTATTTGATTCAATAAATCGTTCTCTCTGTGTACTTACACTGATTTTAAATATTTTTCAAGTAAAAAAATATACAATTCCTTAAAATTTTGATTTTTCATGAAAACAATTGTTCATTCTAATTAAACAAAAGAATTCAGATTTTAGTAAAAATATATCATTAGTATTTATCGAATAAATATGTTTTTTTTTTTATTAGATCTGTATTTGCTATAGAAATCGAATAAAATAATAAGTATCAAGTTGGAACAAAAAGAAGATATTGTTAGCGAACATAACAATATCTCTCTTTTTGATGAGATCAGCCGTTTTCTTCTCTCGGTGAACGATTACCGAAATTCGAGTTTTCCGAGTCAGAGGTTATTTCTGAAAAGCGACGCGGAGGGATTTCAGGATCCGAATGCGATTTGGGCTCCCCGCTCCTCTGCTTTCGATCGCGCGCGTTTCGAGTCCTTGGAATCACGAATCGCAAACTCGAAAGTGGGGCATGTTGATTCGCGCCGGCACTCGCAGCGCGCGGGTTTGCTAATCGCGACTCTCGAAAATGTGCTTCCAGCTGCCGCAGATCGAGCAGGACGGCGTCGACAATGGCAGGAGATTTCGCGTGGAGAATGGCGACTCACCGGGCGAGAAGGAGGAGGTAAGAGAGCGTCGTCTAACGATCAAACGACCAAAACTAGTCCTCGGATATTACTTTCTTTTACCTGCCGAGAGATTCGTCTCATTTCACGCGGTGATCTTAATTGCTCGCCGCTTTACTCCACTTTGTCCCGCGACACGCTTCTTTTTTTCTTACTTTTTTTTATTCACTGTGGCATTGCCACGTAAAAGACGCTCGTTAGTAACAAGAAATGAATTTTACGTCAACAGATGTTCGGCTCGCCGAGTACGCCAATACTAGAGAACCCAGAATACCAGACGCGTTGGTACTTTAAATATTTCCTGGGCAAGCGTAAGTTGAATACATTTATCCGATGTACTTCTGCTCGGTTAGTTATCCCTCATTTTCTCAAATCGGCTTCCCCCCCCCCC